AAGCTGCTGTACATCAAAGGAGGCAACCAGGGAAGCGAAGAGAAAACCCACAGAATGGGAGAAAATCTTCACCAGCAACACATCTGATAGAGGTTTAACATCCAGAATATATGACGAACTCTAAAAACAAAGAATCAAGAAAGGAAGTGACCCAATGAAAAGATGGGCTACGAACTAAACAGAGAGTTCTCAACAGAAGAAATAAAGATGGCTAAGAAGCATCTTAAAAGGTGTTCACCATCACTCACAATTAGGTAAATGCAAATTAAAACCACTTTAAGATTTCATCTTACGCCAGTCAGACTGGCTAAGATCAAGAGAACAAATGATACCAAATGCTGGAGAGGATGTGGGGAAAGGGGAACGCTCATCCACTGCTGGTGGGGCTGCAAACTGGTTCAGCCCCTATGGAAAGCAGTGTGGAGAACTCTTAAAAAACTACAAATGAACCTACCATTGGACCCAGTTATTCCACTCCTTGGCATATACCCAAAGAACTCATCCTATTGCAGAGACACTTGCACATCCATGTTTGTTGCTGCTTTTTCACAATAGCTAAGAGATGGAAGGAAACTAAGTGTCCCTCAACTGAACAGTGTATAATGAAAATGTGGTTCGTTTATATGATGGAGTTTTAATCAGCAATAAAGAAAGATGAAATCAGGAAATTTGCAGGTAAATGGATGGAACTAGGAATAGTTATACTAAGTGAAGTAACATAAACTCAGAAAAAAACAATGTATGTTCTCCCTCATATGTGGATCCTAGTACCAAATCCTTATAAGTGAGTATGTATCCAGACATAATTACAGGAACCAGGATAATGAAGGGAAACCAGGGAAGTAAAGGAAAAGAAAGAACCTGAAAGAGAAGGGCAGTAGGAAACAGGTGTTAGTAAGGGAGATATGGATAATAATGGGGTTATTTTAAGGGGCGAGGGAAGGGAAGGTTATACAAGCAACCTAGGGGATAAAGAGAAAGAAGGAGCTCAAGAGAGGTGGGACCATAGGAGAAAGGTATTATTAAGGGAGAAATGGGAAAAATGGGGGCACCTTAAATACGGAAACCATAGTGGAAGGGTTAGACAATGTGAGAGATAAATAATGCCTAACTAGTTTTAGAAAACCAGAGGGAACCATATCAGGCCAACAGCCTACTGACAAATTATACACACAACCAGATCAAAGAATGTAATATATGTCTAGGCAAGGTTTATGTGAGAGCATTTGGTCTTTGCCCAAGCTCTACCTACATGGCATGTGGTAATTAAAAGTACCAGACTGGTGGGACTATCCTTCTTTAATGTTTAACAGCCATACTCTAAGGCCTATACTAATTTGGTCAGAGGGGCATAAAGGACAGTTTTTGCTTCTTACCCTCCAAGGTCAACTAAGTTCCAGGGGACTATGAGCATCTCTCAAAATTTCCTCTAACTGTGGTAAATCCCATGTCCTCTTGATCAAGGAGGCCATGGAGACCACACCAGTTCAGATGGACCTGAACCAGTGTCCAGTCTACAAAGGAAGGGTCAACACAGAGGAAACATTTCCTCCATGCTTCAAAGCGAAGCCAGCCACGGTCGAGTAGGACCTTTAACTTATCTTCACATAGATGGAACTGGTAAAAGAAAGGAGCCAGGGGCTCCTCCCAAGCCCATGTTACCCCTGAGGAACAGATCCTCAAACAATCTTAAGAGTAAAAATAAATTGGTTTATCTGAGCTAATTGTAGGGTCTTAAACACCCAAAATGAAAGTATAACCAAAGATTTAAGGGGTCCATATAATTTTTAAGAGTCCATATGTATAACTAAAGGCTACATAACAAGAAACAATGCCAGACAGGAGATACCTTCCTTTCAGTTGTTAGCCAGGGTGGCCCAAGAGACTCCCAGACATTAACCCACCATAGAACTGGGAAAATGAACAGCAGACCCCCATCTTATCGAAAGGAATATTGACAACTGATTGCTGCTAGATGAGGAACAGCTGATGTTCCTAAAACAAGGATCTCTAGATAGGCTGACTAGATTCAGCAGATGGAAATGTCCTAGGGAGTGGCTGGGGGTGCCAAAAATACAATGGACAGTAACAGAGATGATGGTATATGGGCTCTAGTGTGTGGAAGGGGGGAGGCTATGGGAGGGTGCCATTTATGAAGTGGGTATATAGATGAATAAGACTGTGTGGGATGTTCTGTATGATATACACATAAAAATATCAACAAAATTTTTTTAAAAACGTACTTGAGGAGGAATCATAAAAATTTAGTTCATGTCAAATAGTAGAGGGGATAAACATTACCAGTGAAATCTATCTGATTACTTTATAGCCACACTCAGGTACTAAGGTTCCAAGTGCAACTGATCGTTACTAGTAA